ACAGAGACTGGGGGAGAGAGAGATAGAGGGAGAGAGAGAGAGAGAGAGGGAGAGAGAGAGAGAAAAATTTGAAGGAATCCGAGGTAGAAGGGATTACCACCACTGATGTTCGTGTATTCCAGGTCAGGGAAGATGAACAGTGTTTTTTTCTCAATTGTCCAAATAGTTAATACAAGGATAGTATGGGGATTAAAAAATATTGCAAGAAAGCTAATGGAAGGGGGTCTTTGTCTCATGGTCATAGTAGAAGGGGGGTCTTTGTCGCAAAACAAAGTACAGGGGGTCCTTGTGATAGACCCCATAGTATCGGGGGGTTTTTTCAGTGTACCCAAATTGTTTTCATTCTTGTTTTCGTCTCAAGGATCTGGGGCCACTCACCTATTTTCTGGGCATATATAGAAGTTACTTGTTCCTCTTTGGGTATATTCCTCAACCAACACAAATATGTGTTTGACATATTACAAGTAGGGTTGTTCATAAGAATGCCCAACCTGACCAAATCGACCAACCCGGACCGACCCAACACGAGTCGGCCAGGTTCTCATCAGTACCGGTCGGTTTCGGGTTGGGCAAATATATAAACTGATATATCGGGTCAGTTTCGGTTTTCACCCGACCCGAACCGAACTAGTCTTCTACTACTTCGGTAGTTCCTAGTTTGAGTAGTTTCCTAATTAACTATAACTAGTCTTCTACTAGAACTAGAAGGCCCATTAGGCAATTACAATTAGAATAGGCAATATATCCTAGTTTCTAACTTTCTATAGTCTTTTACACCAAATGGGCAACCCATTAGGCAATTACAATTAGAATTCAATTAGGTGTCCTTTTGTACAGGAGCAAAACAACTGACCCAACCCGACTCAAACCGACTAGGTCGGTTTGGCCTATCAGTGGGTCAGTTTCAGTTTCCACCTTAGGTAACCTGACCAGGTCGGGTCGGTTGGGAAAACCCCAATAAACCGACCCAACCCGACCCGTGAACACCCCTAATTACAAGACATTGGTATGATGGATTCTCGGCCTAATTCCACTACCATGGAATAACAACACCAATTCCAGCCCATTACTTTCAGATCCAACACAATATCGTAGATTCATGGGCCGCTTGGTAAACATTGCTTTTCAGATGCTTGTTTCATTTGGGTTGGGTTTGTTTTTCATATCTGAAAACCCAATTTCAGATCTAAATAGAAAAGAGCCTCTTTACGTGCTTAATGCACTAAGAGGTATTTCAGATGTGGGCAAAAGACAAAAGAGCCCCCATAAAAAATTTAAAGTGACTCGTAATGGCCTTCATATAAGCCAAAAGTAGGTCATTCGACTCCTCCCCTCATTTGAGAAAGGAAATTCGTCGCTGGGAAGTTCTTCGTCTCCTTCGTCTTTCCCGCCACCGCCGCTATTGAGAGTGGGGGGCTCTGTAGGTTTTAATGAGAGGTGAATCTGTTGAGGGTGGATCAGCACTTTTGAGGGCAAGTGGGTTAAACATGCCTTGGCTACTTTGATCTGACCTTCTCACCACCAGAGGAGAAGAAAGCGGCGTTCCAGCCATGACCAAGCTGACTTTCAATTATGTTGAAGGCCGAGGACTTATAATCCTTTAAGCAGGTTCGTTTATTATATTTTCCCTCACAGTTTTCTAGTTCGGCAAAGTCAAATTTTGACAAGATTGGTTTTGCAAACTGATGGGAAAAGGAAGGCAAATCGACTAACATGTGAATAGGCAGATCGAAACAAGGAATCCCTGAATTTTTGTACTTCAGAGGCCCAAAAATTCAACTCATTGAAACACAAGACCATCCCCTCCCTATACTCCCCTTGTATATAAAGATTTGCAGCCATTGAAGATTATTGAAAGAGTTATCAGAGACTAAAAATTCATCTCAATAAAACACAGATTAAAATTAGACAAAATCTGACTTTGACAAGTTCACCTCCATCGAAGACTTTGATAGAACCTACATTAGTTTTGTTTGTTTGCTTTGTAGTATCTCTCTCTCTCTCTCTCTCTCTCAATTGAAGAGAAGTATATAAATCATGATCTCTTCTCTCATCAACTTTTTTGTTTTATTTATTTAATTTAGTTTTCTTTTCGCCTTTGGTCTGCCTGTTGCAAAGATGGTCAATTGATTGGTCTCGGAGGACTGAATTTTTCAAAGTGGAAGCCCTATTTTGATTGTTTCTGGTTTGGTAGGGATTGTTGTCCAAGTTTGTGTTTACTCGAATTGGATCGATCTGTGAGAGTTTCCATCTTTCTAGCGGTGTCGGTTGATCTCGGAGGACACTGAGATGTCTTTTCTTAGCAGAGAACTTGTGTTTCTGACACTTCAGTTCCTCAAAAAGGAGAAATGCAAGGAAATCATTCACAAGTATGGGAATATATATCTTCTCTTCTCTTATTTTGGTTGTTTATTTGGTTTTGGAAGCTTGAATTTACTAAAAGATATTAATTAATAATTATTAATTTTTTATTGCTTCATGGTCTTCGTTAATATTTTCATTATTGTTTTAACTCTTAATAATTTATTTTTAATTTACAAGTTGCTATGTATTTTTCAATTTTATTCTCATTTTAATAAATTATTTTTTTATTTTTTTCAATTTTTTATAATTTCATATGCTGAAAGTTTGATCCAACACAAACAACTTTCTTTATTCAAAGCCCCTAAAAAGTTAAAAAATCAAAAAACAATTATGACTCTTTTTAGATTTTAGACACTTTTAATATCATTTTAATTTTTTAGATTTCATATTTCARATTTATCAAACGCCACCTCAGTCAATTTCTTCAAGCTCCACACCTAGAACACATGGATGTTACACTTTGAATTCTTCGTTTCTTACGTTTCACTCCATCTCATGGAATTCTATTGCGTTGCAACAATGACTTCACACTCAAGACTTATTGTGATTCAGATTGGACCACAACAACTTTTCCTTTTTCAATTGGATTATTCATCTCCAGACTCCATTCCGCTTTCAAGCACTGCTGCATTCAAACAAAGAGGCTTCTGAGGCTGGACCTTTTAATCCTATTGTTTTATTAGTTATTAATACCTTGATTAGGGAGCGCCTCTCCTGCATCAGCCCTGCCACACGCGGGCGCTATGCTTTTTTTTCGGGGGCAATGCATAAGAATATTTGGATAATAGCTAAAGTGGCTGAACACAATGGCTTATTTCTGCTTAAGAATATTTGGATAATAGCTGAAGTGGCTGAACACAATGGTTTATTTCTGCCTAGCTTGTAAGTTATTAATGATTATGAAGGTGGTAAGTTTCTTAATTGCTGAAACTTAAGTTTACACTCGAATATTTTATTTGTTCAATTATTTTACCCACTAAAGACAGCAATAAATCATTACATTCAGTCACTTAAGCCAGTTCCATAGAAGTGAAGCCTAAAACGAGAGATTCCCGCATTTCATATTCAGATCCTAAAGCTTACACATCAGAGGTTTTACATCATAATACAGTACCGAGGTCGAGGTGCTTGAGTTCAATACATTTGTACAATTCATGATTTCTGACTTAAAAATTATAAAATTGGTTTAATTGAAAGTATAAGAGGTCTCCAAACAACAGTTCGGCTTATTTTTTACTGTTTCCCGAATGTTTGCTGGTGAAAAGTATAAGGGTCCTTATGGTGGTGGATGCTTGTTTATCAAATAGGAACATTTAATTCGACTAAATCTCATTCCAAACATATCGAATTAATAAGACAACTGTTCCACCATTCCAGTTTCCACTGCTACAACTTTTGAGTGTGTTAAATATGTTGACAGGAGAACCTAATGTTCAGAGGGTTTGTTTGTTTGATCTAAAGTCTGATATTTGAAAGTACAATAATTACATTAAGAGGTATATTAGTATTGGTAAACTTTTCTTTCCTCTGAATTCTAAATGTAGAAAATGTTGTTCTGAATTCTGAATTCTAAAAATTATCAAATGCCCATTTTGACCCCATATATGAGAGTTTTTGTTTATCTATTTGGAAATATCATTGAAAAACAAAAAATTGTATAATTGCACTTAAGAGATAAGAGATAAGAGAATATAAACAACAATTTTTCTCTTAAACTTAAAAGATTCCACTTAGGATATAAGAGTTTAGAGGAAACGAACAGGCCATGAGGGCCCATTTGATTTGCAAGAATAAGAATCTGGAAAACCTTTTGGTTGGAGGGAATCAGAACCTCATTCCCATTAATGGCAGAATGGCATTCCCCTATTTGAGGGAATGGCCATCCCCTCCCCCTCCTTTGGCAATGAGAATCCATTCCAGTTGATTTTGATAGAGGAATAGATCATTCCAATTCTGACTGTGAACTAAAGGACCCTGAAACGATTAAATAAAGACCAGAATGGCAGGATTTCATATCTGTGAAATGATAAGATCCAACATATTGAAATCGTCTCTTCTATTACCAGTGATGGGCATTTCCTCCCCCGGAAAATACAAAATTGACATGCCACAGATCCACCAGAACATTAAGTAGACTGTCTACCAGAACTAGTCCTCCAAGTTAATCCAAGTACACATTGCTAATTGGATTACTGAAAATTGGTAGATTATATCACAACACCATGTATGCAAGCCTCTCATCCCCAGTATGTTTGCGTTTCAATTTTCTAGAGCTTTACGAACCAAGTGTGTTGATTCAGGGACCGGATATGGTAGGCACAACATAGTAAGCATCTGTCAAAACTCAAAAATCGTTTTTAATCTTGGGGTATGTTAACGGAAAGGTATCAAAAAATTTCAACTCATTGAACGTGCTTACATTCTCTGCCTACCTGATCCGGATTGTCATGGGTGTATTATTTATCTTGCCAAAGAAAAAAAAAATAGCAATAACATAAAACAGGTGATACTTTATAACATAGGACGAACTGAATAAGTATCCAAATAAATCTACTGAAAACAAAATAGTTAAGCTCTGCACACTAATTGAAATAATTAACAAATGAGAGTATCATCTGCACAGGAAAACCAATAAATGATGGAGAACAATGTGCATAATAATTTATATATGAAGTTTATTTTATGCAGCAGTGCTGAGGTGTAAAACGTATACATTTACAAGATATAGACATGTATGGAAATCTATGTCACTTTTATGTATATTGCCAGGAAGGATTCAAATTCACAAAGAAAGAAATGACGACATCCAAATTGCCAGAGACACTATACCAATAGTTGCAAAAGCTTGGCCTATTTCATATACAAAATTTTGTTGCTGAAGAGGTACGCTTTGCCAATCCGTCCGCCTAACAACAAGTTGAAGCACACATGGTTCCAGAAAGAACAAATACGAGTCAAAACCATTGAAAGTTTTGGTCACCAAAATGAATAAGAAATCAACTTAAGGGCACAATGACAATGAAATAATGTTTGACGAGAGAAGAGCATAGAGATCTAGAGTGAATTAAATAAAGTATATCTATTTTAACAAGGAAAACATTATCATCAAAAAGAAACCATTAGCAATACTCTCCTGCTTGGCATGGACTTGGAGAAATAACAGAAACCATCAATTAGTCACTAGCATAACCGCATAGCTGCATTTAGGGGCTTGCCTACACAACTGCCACCTGACTCCCTCACCGAGATGTTTAGTCACAAATGGGAATCCCCAGACCCCAAAAGGCAAAGATCAGTGCATAGAATAAATCCTGCTTTTACATGATATTAGCTCATTGGAGATAAAATATGCAAATATGATCTTCGCATTACCCTATTCCCATGGGCCAAGTTTCATTCTAAAAAGCCCCTGCCTTAAGAAGAAAAAGAGCCATTTCACCATTGGAATATGATGCTAACACTAATATTGACCAATCCAGAGGATTAGCAAGAAAAATCTTCTGTTACTTGGAAGTGGGCCTTCTATATACATGCACATGTGAGCATGTGCACACATACAGAGACAAATTCTTGGTTTTGGAAACAAGATTACAAATTTCCACATAATGTGATCATAAAGCAGGTACATACCCCAAATCTGCTATGGCGATGCTAATATTATCTTGAGAGCGCCGATCCTGCAGAATGCATAAAATTGTAGGTCAGTCTATCTATCTAAGTTAAATTTCCATTGAACCACCCTCAAGCAAGCTGAAAACGGAAGGATAAAATCATCAAAAGGAGACCAAATATAGAATCAAGAAACATTGAAAAGAGAAACCATTACCAGAGCTGCTTGCACAAGTGCCTCGCAAGCTAGCTGAAAATAAAAGGAACAAAAAGTTAGACCTTGTTATGGATAATAAAAGGATCTGGAAGAAAACAGGAAAAGCTGAGACTAGTCTCTGGATATAATTTGGACCTGAACATCACCATGTTTCCGAAGTTGATTCCTAACAAATGTTATTGCATCTGAGCTGAAAATATAGCCATAAGCAATTGGTGATCCTTTTCTTGGTAACAATCAACAGACATAAATAAATAATTTCTTCTAAATCAAAATATAATAGACCAATATTAAATAGATAGCCCAACAAACCTGTTCATGTAATCCCATAAACCATCAGATGCTAATAATATAAATTCTGTGTCTTGTCCAAGAGCTACTTGATAAATATCTGGACAAGAAATAACCAAGTCTCCATTGAATTGCACTCTGAGACAAGAATAAATGCATTAAATCAAAGCCATCTTGAAGTTGTAGGCAGGTGCAGTTAGGAGTTGCATTGCAATGGAAGATTCTCTAGTTTGCACTACACAGTCAACACTTTTTACACTTAACTACAAAATCTAAAGCTACATCTCCAGGAGACATGACATTTTACTATGCATATTATATAATCAAAGGATATGACCTCTTCTTAATTGTTAAAAATTTGACTGATGGAAATGGTGGAGAAAAATTGCTCCTCTGATGTGGTAATGCCATAGCACCTTACGCCAGCCGGTTGAAGTTAGGAAATAGTAACTCCATAACAAGGTTTATGACATCAGCATTGGCATACCAAGTGCAAGTGGAACGATAGTATTATCACAAGTTTATGTTATCGCTTGCCATTGCCATGCTAGGTATTTATCTATTCATTTAAGTTTGATAGAACTAATGAGTTTTGATGCAGCTTTGCATACAATCAGGTGATAAAGAGGCAATATTGAAAATGTAATTGATCATGAAACTGCATCTCCATTCATACTTTACACGAAAACTATAATACAAGTTTGACTCTCCCTAACGCAGAATCGGCTAACCAGGAAACTACATAGCTGATAAATGTATGATTTATTGAATTGATAGGATAAAAAAGATGCACATTATACCACTTCAACATGCATTGGATATAACCATAATTTTAACAAAGAAAAACAAGAATAAATAGAAGACTATACCGAGAGACAAATTTTTTGGACCATCTGCCCTCTTCAACTCCTTTCTCCAGCATCCTTTTCAGATAGATAACAGGCAGAGGATGTCAGGAAATGAATAAAATTAATACCATAACCATGCAAGATTAAAAGTTCACCAATAAAGATGAATAACAAGCCCTAAGGATGCACAGGAAAAAGGAAAGTACAAGGGACGAACTCATTCTTCCTTGTCTTGAACCGCAGATCACCAAAAGCACGGGATACAGAGATGTCTCCACAAATCCTTCCATTTATAATCTGCACGCATTAAAACTCTACAGAAGTTCCTCAGAGAACTTTACCAATTTAGAATTAAATTCCAGTACCCAAGCTAGTGTTACAGACCAACATAGAAACAATAAAGCATGTTAACTTAAACCATCAATCTTGTCCACTGAAATTTGCCAAATCAAATATCAAATATGCTAGTAAGATGCAATGCATTAAGACAGCCTACTCTGTTATGTATGACTTTTTGTGACTAATTCGAAAGACCTAGAGTGATTTCAAAGCTCAGCCTCTAACAGCCATCAAGCACATGAGAAAAGCCACAAGGACCTTGAGTTTCCTAAAAGTTTTCCTCTTTTTGGAATTCTTGCCGTTTATGCAAAGAACATTTGAGAACCCCCTCCATTTTCTCAATGCCCCTCTTTAGTGCACAACACTAAAATCCTCCAAAATAGTTTGAAGAAATACCATTCCAATCTCAAGATTTTTTTTTCTCTTCAAAAACTTCTGCACATTCCAGGAATGCCAGCCCCAAAAATAGCTTTAAAATCAAACCACACAACCTTATAAATAGTTACCCGTCCACCCTTAGATTATAACAGTCTTATATTACTTGGTATCAAAACAGTTGATCCGAGATCACACAAGTTCTAAGAACATTACAAGAAAAAATTAGAACATACTAATGTTAGTTTAGCAAAGAAGATTAGGTGAACATACTAAAGGATAAAATGTATGGATTTTGTAATACAAAAGGGAAGAATTTTATATTGATTGCTCCAGCGTTGCAAAAGTAAAGGAAGCTGGCTATGATTGATCTCCCAAAGCACACAAAAAGGTTTGAAACCAATAGCAGAGTTTTTTCCAATGTCGACAAATTATTGATGACCTTTCAATGGCCTAAAAAGCTAATGCCTGTTATGGACAGACAATTTTAATAGAAAGCTAAAGAATTAATAAATTAAAACTAAGAAACTTTAATGTAGTTTTCCCCAAAACAAAAGTGGAAAGTTACATGTTAATCATTTGAATGTGCAAAACAAGGAAAAAAGTCCAGATATTTACAGTTAACACATCTCAAAGCATTGAAGAGGTGATGGGTCGTGGAGTGTCCAACAACTCAAATTATCTAGTCAGGGGCCAGTGTCTAAATTTGTAATTATAAAATCCTTAAAGGAACTTAAGCCGATGATTCTAGCCAATAGATGTCCCTTTGCAGAATGGGGAAGGCATATACAGATTTTAATTTTCACAATATTTGTGAATTTTAGATGAAACTTCAAACCCCTCGAAACAAAATAGCTTCTTCACTTTGTGGATGACCATGTCAAGGTAAAAACATATGAAATGTAACATAAGTCATAGTTGTCTAATTATACTGCATCATTTGGGAACATAGTAATAACACCTAGGCATTCAACCCAGTGGAAAGTGTACACGCCTCCAGGTGGGGTGCCCCCAAAATGCCCTGAGGTGTATGCCAGAGGTGTTGATACTTCTGAGCATATGCCTTGAGTGCAAGAGGTGTACGCCTTTTGCATGAGGCGTGCTAGAGGCATACACCTCATGCACCTCACACATGCCTAATACAAAAAAAAAAAAAAAAAAAGATAAGAAAGGAAAGGAAAGGAAAGGAAAAGAAAAAAAGAGAAAGGAAAAAGGAAGGGAAGAGAAGGGGAAAGAAGATTGGGCTGTAGGCTCTGCCCTCGTACACACTTGGCTGGGGGGCTTTGCCCCCCAACCCCTTTTTCAATGCACTCCAATTTGTTTTTTTTTTTTTTGGTCCAAAATTTTTTACAAGATTTAATACCTCAAAAACAGCGTCTTCTCTTCAGGTAATAATGATGTAGCATAATCTCTATCAGGATTCATACAAGACATGGTAAAAGGTGTACATGGGCTGCCAACCTGATCTAGACTTCCCTCCTTCCAGGCTTCTTACTAATAATGCAATGCTAGCACAATAACAGAGATGTAATAGAATGGTAGAATTCATGCAGGAATGAAGACAAACCAAAATTTTTGGTACACCATTTCCATTTTATGTTGGTACTAGAGAACACAATTTCAGTTTCATCCTACCTTTTTCTTTTTTTATCAATATTCTACATTTTTCTTTTTTTTTGTGGGTGGGTGGGGGGGCTGGACGGCATTCTGATCTCAGAAAGTAATCAATCTCATGAGATGTGGATGCATATCTCAGAAGTTAAAGGAAGGAAATGTTGACCAACATGGTAATAAATTTATGCAAATAATGCGTGGAAAATACAATTGAAGCAAGAATAGAAAAACACACCCATCCACCTGCTTCTCTGATCCGCCTGATTTCTTGCAGAGAAACCTTATTGCTCCCATAAGGTCGATGAGAGCTGGTCAATACCTCTGCTTTTCCAGAACGTGATAGAACCTGCATTAGCAGTTTAGTTAAGCCATAATGGAAAATTGTTGAGCCCAAAAACTCATATTCCAAGTAATTAAAGAAGTGAAACTCTCTAGGATACAAAAAATTGAAATCACCGTCAACCACAAATAAAAAAAATGGATACATACCGCACAAGAGTCCCCGACATGTGAAATGATAAGTGCATCATTTCCAACGAACATGACTGTAGCTGTTGAACCAGAGTCTACTTCCTCCCCAGTCACTTCAAGCCTTCGAAAATTGAAACAGGCAGCACAAATTCAAAATCACATAAAATTTACGAGTTTGAGTTGAGTTTACAATATTATGAGTAACGTTAGTTTGGAAAACTTGTGGGTTACCAATTCAACAATTTTGCATCAGCATTTAGGAAGGCCTTCTGCAGTGCTTCTTTAATGGCATTGAAATCCTTCCCAGTCAACAGCAAACCACCTTGTAAAGCCTCAACACACTCTTTGTACAACTCTTCCCTGAATTTCACATGCCGAATCAGCTCGTACAAACCAAAAATATGAACACAAGAGTCCAGTCCAAACAAGAAATTTCACGTTCAGGTTCCGAATTTTCAATAATGTTCAGAAATTATATCCTGATAAAATGATTTTTCGCTAGGTACAGCTTGATCGAAGCAAAAAAGAAAAAAAAAAGTGATTTCGCTAGAATGTAATATAAACATAAGCAAGGACAAGGAAGCAAGAATTGCGATTCAGTTATTTATATAAAAAAATGATAACATCCTGTGTACAAGAAATCGAAAATAATCGGCTCTCCTATCAGGTAGCTAGGCGTCCTCACCTAAGGAACTTGACGGATGAAAAACCTGCATGACCATCGAACACTGCAGCAAAAGAAAATCCGTCAAGGTTATCTGATCGAATGACGATGTCGTCTTCCATCTCTTCACGAGGACCCTGTAACCGACTACATCCCCATCTGATCCCCGCAGCTCCTGCCAGTGATGACGGGGCATCAATGGCAATCGCAGAACAGGATCGGATTCTCTCCCTGAAGCTCTTCTTCCTAGCCTTCAAGCCGGAGCTGCAGATGATTCCGTTCAGTAGGAACCTCTGCAACTGCTGGCTCAGCAAAGCCATGGAGTTAATCGGGTATCTACTATCGTGCACACTAACCAAACGTGTCCGGCTGCGGAGTGCTGAGAGGATAAGAGAACGAAGTTAGACCTCTAACATATTTAACGGATTAGATTAATAGATTTCAGATTCCCTCATTCGCCGCCATGAAAGTCCCAATTTCACTTTTTCCCCGAAATTATGTGGTATTGTAGTTGTACTGTCTGTAGTAAATAGGGGTGAGCAAATGGGAAGGTTATGCTCGTAATCAAATGGAACCGACTTTAAATCGGCCCATGAACCAATCCTATCCGATCTGTTATAGCGTAGTTGCCTTATTATTCTTTTTTTTTTTTTTCTTTGTAAACTTGGTTAAGTCTAAAGCCCTTTTACCCCTGAATCGAGTTAAGCCTCGAAAGTCGAAACACCTCTTTGTAGGAGCGTATCGAGAGGCTCCTCATATGATACGTATCCGTAGAGACAGTCTGGTTATGGGAAAAACTATGATGCGGAAAAGATATGGTATAGGAAGAGTTTTGATCAATCAAAATCCACTCATGAATTTTGATAAATAACACATGATTGGCTATCATGTTTATGATTTCAATTGACTGATCGAAAGTTTTTTAGATATCATATCTTTTTCATATCATAGTCATACCCGTTTGATATATATCAAAATTTCGTACCTTGACCCTCACCCATGTTGGTTTCAGGGTCTACGGATTTATTCTACACGAACCAATCCGATGAACTGGCCTTGGTGAAATCGACCTTGTTGGAAGTTTGGAACTTGCCTTGAAACTGAATTTTTCTTAAAATAAACCCCAGAATATATGGGATGTGAACATTTGAACTCTAAGAATTCATGCTTACAAACGCCATAGTCTCACTTGACCATTGAGTTACTTAAGTGATTTAATCATTTGTTTTCATTTTAATATTTGAATATGTACAATAAGTAGTGTAAAAGGTAATATTTACAAAATTTAAATTTAATTTATATTTTTAACCATATAGTGATAATCTACATATTAAGTTATTCAATTTAATCAATAACGATAGTATAAGTTTTAAATTATATATTATATTTATTAAAAATCTTTTTTTTTGTGAAATGATAGATCGGGAGAGTAAAGAAAGTACAAGTTCCATGGGTTGACCCTAGAACCAACCTTCATGGGGTAGGTTTCGGTTCCAAAACCCTAGAACCGAACCAAACAGGCTCATGCTCACTCCTACATTTCTACAACAAGGAGCTCGGATCCTTTTCGTTTTGTGGGAAGCAATGCCAACGAGTCGGAGTTGTTTTAACCACAACCTGACCCGTAAACCCAACCCTGACTATGAGACTGGAATGTCAAATTCAACCCCAACCCATCTAATGATTGACCTATACTCAAGCCTATTTTAGGGGGTGCAAATGGATTGGATCTTTGTAGGATTTTTGTGTCGGATTCAGATCACCCTTTATCCAATCCGACATATATATACTTATAAAAAGACATGTATATATTAATATATACGTATATTTTAATAATTTATTAATTTTTTCATAATTCAAATTAGATTAGATAAGATTCGGATATCTGACACCCTTAATAGATTCAAATTTGAATTACTATTTGTGAGATTTGATCAGATCTTCGAATCGGATCAAATCTCGGATTTTGTTTGTTGGGTCGGATTCGAATGTACCCTAATTCGAATTCGATCCGATCCATTTGCATCCCTATTATTTTTACGAATGCTCTGATGATGGGTTGGAGTTTGGCATGGGAGCAACCTCAATCTAAACCCAATCTAAACCATTGGTGTTTGTCATTTCGGCCATTTGAACCGTGTTCCGTTGTTGGCTACATGATTAGGAACGGGATCTGCTCCTCACAAATGGGTGCCTCATAGGCACATCCACCGTGCATTGGGAACATCTCCCATGAATAATAACTAATAAATACGAGAGATGTTCCCAATACATGGTAGGATGTGCATGTGAGATCGGTGTGAGGAGCAGATCTGGTCTCAAATGATTATGGAATTTATGGGTATAGCTTTCCTAAAACCTAGATTTTGGTCAAAATTCAAAAACAATTGGTTTGGTCAAAAATCATCCATCCTGAGTGGTTGGACCATTGATCCATTCAATGCAGTGGCCGAGTCACGGGTTGCATATTAAATGTGTATGCAAATTTATCAGGGCCATAACTTTTATGTTTGATGTCTAACTGGGGTGATCTTTCTTATGGTAAAAGTTAAAGACCCCCTTTTCTATGGGGTTGGTTACCCCATGAACTTTCATTTGTGATAAAGACCCCCTAAACTTTCACTTTGCAACAAATACTTTCCTCTATAAGAGTTTTGTTAATTAATTTCAAAAAGATTCTCATTTAGTAGTTTAATTTTTTAAATCCCCAAACTACCCTTTTCTTATTTATTTAAATGACCAGTGATTCAGTTAGATTTCTAAATATAATATTGAAATCCTCTCGGCTGCTCCAATAAACCCTTGTAGATTTCTGGCTGGATTTAATATTCAAATGAAAATGGTAGAGGTTTCTTTTTGATAGATATTAATTTAAGGTTTCATATGGTTTTTCTTGATTTTATTGAAAAATAGTGTGGATAATCTTTGTATTTTAAGATGAAGAGAGGCATTCATAAACAAGAATTTAAGAAACTTGTTTTTCTATGTCAGTGAAATGATACTTGTTATTTTAACCGATTTTGTTTGGAGAAAACAAAATAGATATTTAAGGAAAAAAATTAAAGAGTCATTTATTTGAGTTTTTTTTCTTTTTCTTATTTTGGTTTTAGTTATTTAGGCCGTGTTTACTTTTTTGGTAAGTTATTTATCTGGGACTTACCCCGGGTAAGTTCATTTATCTATGTTCTTTTATTTTCAAGTAAATAAAATAATGACCATTCTAGCCATAAAAATTTTATGATCAAAAGGGGCCTTTTTGTCTCATCCAAGTGTTGGAAACTTTCCCAAGATGGGAAAGCTACTTTACCCACCTAGAAGATGGGTATCAACGGTCCCCACACAAATCAAAAAAAAAAAAAACAAAGAACATGGGTTTCTTGGTCAATGAGATTCACAATCCATTGACCAACTTCCCCTCTCTCAAAATCTCAAAAAAGGAATGCACCCTTAAAGGCAACAACTCCAATAACTTTACATTAGACGGAAAAAACAATAGGATCTATGGACAAGTGTCCTTCCTGGAATGTGAGGACAGAATTGGTACATAATCGATGGACAGAGGATCCAAGTCCGACTTTACTTTAATAAAATTAGATTATTAAGTAAATTACATAAATTAATTAATTACTTATTTTATTGCAATTGCTATATAAAGACCCTAATTATGTTATACCCATTATACCATAATTATGTATCTCCCAATTAAAATAATTTAAATAATTAATTATATTCTTATCTAAATAGATTATTAAATCACAATGATAATTAATGTATTATTAATTATAGTTAACTTCAATTGGTTTTAATTAACATGGGTAAAATACTTGGATTAATTATTGATTTTAATTAATTAACCGTGGATTGACCACAATATATTGCAGTTGAAAACACCACACTTGCACTGGCCGTTCGATTGGTTTGTGGTGTGGATTGATCCATACTATGTCATGGGTTGTTCCACACCACAGGCCTATATATCGTCCATGGGTTTTATCGTGGACTGATTAGCGCTACACCATTTTATGGTTTCAAGAGTGATCTCATGCTTCGCAAGAGATGTTCTACCGTTACTGTTGCAACATCCAGGTCTCACTAGTCACCGTTGTTATTCTTCTTCTCCCGCTATTAGTAATATCACACCACTTGCTGCTCGTAGCTACTCCTCTGACCAGCACTGCATCGGATTGTCAGCGATCAATATTCCTTCTCCGTTTGATCTTACTTATACCACATCTCTATTTCAATCGATACTTGTAGCTGCTATTCTGTCTTTGATGGGAAGCTCACGTCCTACCGCCAATGATACAACCATTATTGCCAGATACGGGTTTCAGACATTTGTTTTTATTTTATTCTTTTTTTTCTATTTCATTACTGTTATTCGAACTGGTGAACCCATGTTTCATTTTCGTTATACAGGTGTGCTTGTGAAAAAGTTTATTCAAGTGAAACTCAAACCCCTGTTTCATATTCGTTCTACCCCTGTTTCATATTCGTTCTACATGTTTAGGTATTCTGAAATACCAACTTGTTTTGCAATAGATTTTTATTGAAACGAATGTTGGTGTGGGATTTCGTTTGTTGCTAAGATTATAATTTCAAATCTCAATCCATGAAACCAAACTTTGTTTTCCCAGACATCAAATGAGAATAGATGTTTTTTTCATTAACCATGTTAAAAATAACTATTGAAATGAAGGAAAATATTCACACAAACAATAGATTCATCATAAGAAAATTTTGATTTCTGACCCCCGGCCATAATCCCAGAATTCTGCCACCATAGTTCTGGGCACTATGCCAGAATGCCTTGTTTCCGCCAAGAAACTATTGCCCAAAAATTAATCATCAACAGTGACCAGACTATGTTTGACTATTTTTGTTTTCTATTCAACGATGAATTAAGGTTGAAAATTGAATTTGTAATGCCACTTTCATCTTAACTTCTTAAGCAAGACAAATCATGATGAGAATGAAGCATTGAATGGTTCACTATAGTATATGGAAAGAATAACAACGACAAGGGAGTAAACAAACAGATTCGCCAACGAATCCATCACCTATGTGGAAGCGAGTGGTTGTGTTGAAGTTGAAGGAATGCTTTGGGGCCAATGAAGTTTGGACTTTGGGGAAGTTTCAATGAGCTTCTTCACTACATGAGCATAGGAATCAATGTTTTCTATCCGAAATGATCTAACAGAATTACAAAGCTTTGTGAATATAATGAATAGTGGCAACAATTCCCAGAGCTTTGGGGACTGGTGGTATCTTCAAAAACCATGCTAGAAATTAGTTAATACTAGCGGAGGGGCCCCTGCATTGCAGGGGCTAGTGGAATTGTGGAAGTAATTTAATAAAATGATAAAAACAAATACTCTTGCACTAACTAGAAGCTAGTCTCATTTTTATCACTATTTTTGTAGTTAAAATTATTTTAAATAATTTTTATTTACCAATAAAGTATTTGAATAAAAGCAACCAAAATTAATTATACATTTAAAAAAATAGAAACAAGACAGAAAGAGAAAGAATAGAGAAATGTACAAAAGAAAAAAAAATGTAATAACAAAAAGATACCTAGTATTAATTACTAGTCAATATACCCTTGATGGCGTTCTCACAGGCTAAAGCAGACAAGGCGTTCTTACTTAAATCCCAATAAAGCCCCTGCTCGTTAAATCCCAATAGTCCAAAATTTTAATCACCCTGCTTCTTCCATGGTTTCTCTCCTTGCTTCCATACCTATATCATCTTCGTTTCTGATAATTGCATGCAACTTACCTTGGACTATTAGAAAAATGGATGGGCATATACTTTTCTTTTTTATGAGAATTTAATTGCCCAAAAAAACTGGCTAAGAAATAAGCCAATGCACATAACCAATTGGAAAGAGTAGCTAAAAGTTTGGTTACAAGTTGGAAAGAGGTTCATGTATCAGCTGAGTTACAACTTGCAACAACATAGCAATATTCCAATTAAACAATACATCAAGAACAAAGGCATTATATTTACAAGTGAGGATTGATACCAAAATAGTGATATGATAATATTACAGAAACATTAATTGCAAAAAAATTGCTACGTGGCATGAAACAGTGGATAAAAGAAACAACCAATACCAGATGCTGCTCAACACATAGCTGAAAACGTATAGTGGGTAAAACCAAAAGATCTGTAAGGGAAAGGCCAATCATACAGAATCAGAATGCTAAAAAATCAAAATAGATTGGAAGAGAATAAAAATACAAAAATATAACTAAACAAATACAATAAAGAAAGAAAAAGGACACCTTAGAAATACCACAAAAATCACTACCTACCTTACATGGAAAATTCATCACTACAACAATTTAAATGTAGTGAAAAGAATTAGTTAGTGGTAAAAAACAAATAATCTTATTTGACCCCAATATACTATGGAATGGTGAAGCAGGACTCATGCAGCCAACCTCATATAGTTGGGCTTAGATGATGATGATGATGAGTCCCACCATACTATATATAGAGAGATGTAGATGCAAATGCAATCCCTTTTTTTTATCAGAATAAAAGGAATTTTATTAATGAAAGATTAGGAATTACAAGATCTGGGGTGTAAGTTCCATTCCAAATCAGCAAAGATTACAGATTTTCCAAAAACATATGCCGTCTCACAGCCCGTTGTTTGGCCAGAGAATCTGTCATTCCATTTGCTGTTCTTCTTACCCACTTATTTAGTTCTCTTGTTAGGCTTACAATCTCCCTGAATTTATACCTAAATACCCAAGGAATCTGGGTATTAACCCCTGCAGTAGACTAACCACTTCAACTGTCAATGCATCGCTATGCTCCAAGGGTCTTGAAGATTGAGCCACCACTCTGCCTTCTTTATCTCTGAAGACACCACCCCTACCCCCCGCCATTCCATCACTTCCCTTGCCTTGTCTATAGCCGATAGTGCCACCTCTTTCCAGGTTCTCAAATTATCATTTAGTGAAAAGACTTTGAAATCATCCAAAGTTTTCACCCAATGTGCAGCTTTCAGCTTAACTAACTCGAGGATTTCTACTTGGGTCCTACTCTTAAGTCTTATCATTGTTTATACCTAGCAGATTGATATGTATCTTCTAAAGAGCTAACTTTTTAACCAATACCCATAAAATTAATCTCTACACACTATTATATTTTTTTTTCTAAATTAATACAATGTATGTGACAATTCTTCCTTTTCTTAAGCTTATCTAACAACTATGAAGCAATACACCCTTGACTTGTGATGGTTAGCCTCCCTGTAATGAAGCTAGGTAAATCTTTGATATCCATTTTCTTTTAATGCAGATGCAATCTTTTGAAACTGTTTTGTTTTGTTTTTTTTTTTCATTGATTAGCTGCAATGCTAATTTTGAGCTATTAGGACCAATTACATGGTATTCTTTCTCTAACATAGAAATGTTCACTATCTCATCTATAT